CCCAGCTCTGAGCAGGCGGGCGCAGGCAGAGCTGGGCTCTCATCCTGGATTTACAGCCGGGGTTTTGGTTCCAGCCAGCCATGGCGAGGAGCTATTAGCCTTTCAAGTGTGTACAAAACCCAGTAACCTCTCCTCACACGGGGGAGTTATTAAAGCTGTTCCCACAAAGCAAAATGAGCTGAACTGCTTCCCACGCCCGGGCGAATCTGTTTTAGGCAGTGGGAAAAATCCTTTCCCCCCTGCGCTGGAGCCGGAGCTGTCAGCAGTGTGCTCAGCCCTGCCTGGCCCAGCGTGGGTCAATGCCACGCGCTCCTCCTCTGCCCTACGGGAGGGCAGAAAGCCGGGGAAAGCAGTGGCAGGGGTTTGCACCATGCTGGTGTGCACCACGCTGCCTGTGCTGTGGCGAGGAGCATCGGGCTGCTCACACGCTGGAGAGGAGTTCGGTGCCTGGAGACCTTATAAAGGTTCAGACACCGTGTGGCTGTGGCACTTGGGGACAGGGTTTAGCAGGGTGGGGGTGTTGAGGTGACGGTTGGACTGGGTGATCTTCCTGCCAACCCCGAACACTCTTGATTCTGTGATTCTGTGATTCTGTGATCCCCCTGCATCCCCTCCATCCACAGATATTTCTGATTTACAGATTTAGTCTCTGCAGTAAATGACCGTCTTAGTTTACAGCATGAGTTTACAAAGCCTGGGAGCTGGGTCAGATGGGTGTACTTTACAAGCACACAACCTCGGGCCGACCCCCGGAGCGGAATGGCTGCCCTGCAGAAGGTGATTCTGTGATTCTGTGATCCCCCTGCATCCCCTCCATCCACAGATATTTCTGATTTACAGATTTAGTCTCTGCAGTAAATGACCGTCTTAGTTTACAGCATGAGTTTACAAAGCCTGGGAGCTGGGTCAGATGGGTGTACTTTACAAGCACACAACCTCGGGCCGACCCCCGGAGCGGAATGGCTGCCCTGCAGAAGGCCCTTTGCTGGCTGCGCGGTCAGGGCAGAGCACAGCCTCTGCCCGCGCGGACCCAGCGCGGAGCAGCAGCGCAGCAAAAATGGGGACGTCAGTGCTGCACGTGAGCACTGGGACCACCAGTGCAGCCAAAGGGAGGTCAGAGCTCCCCGGGGAGCCGAGCTTCCCATCCCTTCCCCGCCGGACCATCGGGCATCGCTGCCCTGGGGCGATACGTCCGGGCGTGCGTTGCTGTGTCTGCGTGGAGGGGTGTCACGCTGGGTCCCCTCTGTGGTCTGAGCAGCACCAGGCATATGCCAAGGCTTGGCGTGGAGCCACAGTACTGGTCCCCATCTCCCACCAAGGGGTTGGTCTGTGGGCAGAGGACCTCCAGAGCCCCATGGCAGCCACGGAGAAGCTCTTCCGGCAGCAGCGGGGCAGGCCCGGTGCAGGGAGCAGCATGGAGCATACAAGTCTTACAAGCAGCAGCTGAGGGAGCTGGGGCTGCTTAGTCTGGAGAAGAGGAGGCTGAGGGGGGACCTTCTTGCTCTCTACAGCTCCCTGACAGGAGGGTGTAGTGAGGGGGGGTTGGTCTCTTCTCCCAAGTAACCA